TATAGAACTTTGGCCCGCTAAACTCCGATGTGGCACTTCAAAATATTTTGCTTTTTGGCTCCCCTCCCTGCTAAATGGCATTTTCAAGCCAGTAGAAATGCAGTCATAGTCCCATGTGTTTCCAGTGCTCTTGGCACTGCCTCCCCTGCTGTTTAGAGAGGTTTGTGAGAAATTTGGCCTGGTACATGAGACAGTTGAGACTATGTTCTGCAGAGTAATTTTGTGTGTATGTGTGAAATAATGCAACTTCACCACAGTTCTGCAGTCCTGACTATTACATACTTCCTCCATTAAATGACTGAGCTGTTTGAGAAGATTTGAATAACCAAAGTCACTCAGATATCCTGCCACTGCACAGTTCTTGCTCTAGAGCTAAAGAGAAAGCAGTTACCATGTGTGCAAATAATACTTCCATCCTTTGAAAAGGGCATTGACAAAATACCATTTGACTATATATATGCTGAAACACAAGTCTGGTTGATAGGGACATTAGAAACAGAGACATTGTTGAATTTTTTTAATACACTAAGAGTAAGCGCAATGTAATTTTGCATTACTGGAGATCATAGACCAAATCCAATTTGGTTTGCTCCCATAAGTAATCCTGCCAAAGTCATGAGTGAATTAGGCAAGCAGAATTGGGCTCTGGCAATTCTGATAGCAGCTCTGCTTTATTGCATACTCTTTCATTCAAGAACTGCCTTTCTGGTCAGTTCATGGATCAGGTAGTCCCCCACTACATGTACAGGTAAAGGCACAATGGAATTCAATGTGTGATCTACACAATCACACCTCCTGCCATATCGCACATGCATGGCAGGAGATGTGATTGTGGGATTATGGATTAGAACCCATCACACCTTATTGTTGGTGGAGGGGGAGCCCCTCAGCTGAGGGGCTTCCAGCTGCGGGGCCACCCCATGCACTCCCAGGTACAGGGGGGGTTGTAGCAGCCATGACCCCTGAGGCAGCTGCTCCCATCAGCTGCTGGGAACGAGCTGGATCCTGGAATCCAGTATCCACAACTGCAGCACTCTGGGACCCGGTGCTGTCAGGACCCAGAGTTGGCAACTGCTGGGGCTGAGAGTTCCCTCAGCTGCAGGACTCCCAGCCCTAGCTGGGCATGGTGTATTGATGGGGCTCCCAGCAGCAGGGGGGACCCTGCTACACTTGCATATTAAAGCTTGAAAACAACTGTGCCCACAGTTGGATGCAGCAGTGATGGCAGCAAGGTGTGGGGGTGGGAAGCAGCAGGTGGCAAGCAGGGATGTCCCACAGCCACCATCTGCGCTGTCGGTGGCAGCGAGTGGTAAGTAGGGACCACCCACAGCCTCCGGTCGCCACATCAGCAGCAAGTGTGTGTGTGGGGAGGGGGGGCAGCGACTGCCTGCAGAAGCCAGTGGCGGCTTCGGCAGTGGCTAATCTCAGGGGGAGCATGTGCCCCCCCTACGTATTGTCTATGGTACACATTTTTGAAGTTTAACGTTATAGCCGGTTTGAGCTTTTTATGGTGTGATAAGTACTTTGCACATGTAGCTGGCCTTAAGGCAATTGCACAATTAACTAGTTAATTGCACAACACCTGTAATATGTAGAGTGGGCTTTAGAAGGGACATGCTGTTCCCTGTCTGGCTTTCTTTGGTTTGTAGTGTAAGCTTTTGGTTTTGCCATTTTTCTTGGGTTTCCTAGATGACAGTGTTGTGTGCATTTGCATTACCAGTAGGGTACCCTGGGAAATATGGGTTGGTTGGTTTTTTTTGAAAAATCCATATTTTGAGATAACACCAGAGGTTTGTAGTGCTGCCCATAGTTCTTATATATAAACTTCAGAGACCCTTAATATTTTTTTCAGGTGGATTTTAGTTGTCTGAATTTTCCATTGTTTCGAGTAGGGTTAAGAAAGCATAAAGCAGAAGCCACATTGTATTAGTACCAAGCAATATTTCTACAAGATCAAACTGAAACTAATTAAAAAAGAAAACTTTGACATACCTGGAATTTGAAGTTGACAGCACCCCTAATTATTCAAACTTCATTCTATATAAAAACACAATAGAAGTCTCTTTAATTGCTGCTCCTAATAATTAATTTTCTAGAAATATGCTCATCTCCGAGTGGCGTGCCTGGCAGCTCAAAAGCCTTACTACACAAGCAAGCTATGGTGGAGTGGAATTATCCTCATGGTATCTGGAGAGCTGGGAAATTTTGCAGCTTATGGATTTGCACCAGCCACCCTTGTTGCTCCATTAGGATGTGTGTCTGTCATAGGTGAGATGGTTTTTCCTATTTTATTTATGAGGATATTTTAGTAAATGTATTCAAAATGATTGTAAGAAAAATATTAGAAGAATTGCAGAGAGAGGAGGAACTTGTCAGGGGAGGGATGGGTAAAGCTAATTTGAAAGTGAATGATTCATACAATTAGGAAGGTGACATTTTAAAATAAACCCTGTACTCAACACACACAAAATCTCTAGTAATCTGCTATTGCTTGTCTTGTACTGCAGCATGTAGTGATGGCAGGTTACCAATCCCCAATGCTTTGAATTACCCATCCTAGACTCTGCTCTCAATAGCTATCCATCCATTGACTCCAGTGTATTTGGATTGTTCCACAGTATTTAAATACTTCTGGATTTTTATCTGTGCTGCTCAGTCGCTCATCACTGTAGTATAAGAAACCTTTTCCTGGTCTCACTGACTCATCACCATCTTCCATGATAACTTAAGCCTTGTCTCCACACATGCTTCTTCTGGAACTCCCTTTCCATCTTCCCTGTGGTTTGCAGGCACCTCCCTACCTAAGCCTTGTAGAGTTGCGTTTCAAAGCTTAGGCAGTGCTGAGTGGCTCCTCTGGGCCAACATATCTGAGTGAATTTGCTGATAAATGCAAGTATAAGCCTGAAATAATTATACTGTCATCAGATCAATGTCTTTAATTCACACTCTCTTTGGAAGTTGATTAAGTGTACATAAATTGTTCTACCTCTTCTGATAGGAACATGTGATATTAAAGAGACCTGGATAATTCCAGAACCTTTGGTTTGTTGTGGGACTCTCCCAATACTGAAGTCCTTTTCCTTCATGGAGCATATGTATGAAACCTTAGACTAATCATTTTACAACTTAGGACATATTTTATCTTGTACTTTATTTGGATATCTGTATTATTAATACCTTTACTGGATAGAAACAATTGGGTTAATATCAATCAGGGTGAGTTGATTTATTTTATAAGGCACTTCTTTTAAAATGTTCTTGCAGCTTTACCAGTGGAAATGACAATAGATAGGACAGGGTAGCGCAGAAGCTGTAGCGATAGGAAGTCACTGGGTCAGCTGCATCCCTTAAATAATGACACTTCCCAAAGAAGATCGACATGTGCGGTGCTCGTGTATCATGATGGTTCTACATATCCTGGAATTCATTCTGACACCATGACAGTGTATTTTCATGGTCTGTCGGTGCCTACCAGCTGTCCACTGGGACCTGAAAATGATACTGCTTCGTGAAGTAATTTTTCAGTAATGGTGAGTTTTCTTCCCTGCAGACTGCCTGTCTGTAGCAGTTCTGTGTGTGTTTGTATCATCAAATAAGTGAGAAGAGAAAAAGCTGGCAGTTTACTGTATCCTTCACTTTTTAAAATAGTCTAGAATTTTGGCATCACATACAAAGGTATTGCAGCTATGCATCAGAATCCATGGCCCTTGAAAGGATTTCTTACAGGAAGCAATTAAATAGTTACCTGGAGATCAGACAATACGTTGGTGTGATGTCTCCATATGTGATCTATAACTTGTAAATCTTACCTGTTTCATGCGTCTCTGAACACAAAAGGATATAGTAAAGACCAAAATCAATATTAACTATTACCTGTAATATTACCTAAGTTGGGTTTTTTTTAACTTTTCGTTTCTTTATTTTATTTCTGTTTACTCCATGCCTTGCATTCAGCTGGGACAACAAAACTATCCTGCTCAGAAATGGATTGCATACATTAAAAATATGTCATTATTGCTTCTCCCCCTCCTCCTACCCTGAAGAAGACGTATGAAAATATTTCCATAACTATTATGTTTTGTCAGTGTCCCACCTCCCACTCTCTTTTTAACTGAACTAAAAATTTTGGTACAAAAGATTATGAAAATCCCTTCAGTATTTCATATACCATTCCCTCATACCCACTCCAGATATTATTTTCCTAAACTAAGCAATATGGAAATTTTAATATATCTTAACCAGCAGATACATTTACTTTGCAATGCTGTAGCTTATTCTGCCTGACCTCCCAGAACTTAGTCTGAGGAGAAACAGATTTTTAGTTGGATAACCACTTAACTGCATTAAAGGAGGGATGCAAACAGATGGCGGCACAAGCTGCAAAATTTTGATGGTGGCACAAGTTGCAAGCAAACAGATGCCCTTGCCCCTTGTTATGTTCCAACTGCCCCCAAAAGTTGCTGTGACCAAGGGTAGTCACAGTTTGTGATGCCTTAAATGGGACAACATCTGTTTGATTATTGCATGCCCTGGGAATCCCCCATCAGGGGGTGTGGCATCTGGGCCCTCCCACACATCCCTGCACAGATGATCCCACTCCAGAAATGACATCTGTTTATACCCAAGGGAAAATTAACTGGAAACGTCAAGAAAGAGGAAATAGCCAAATTCAGTGCACTGAGGAAATCATCACGTTCAGTTATACTTCCTACCACCAGATGCTTTCTCCCTTATCTCATTTTTTTATTAAAATTACTGCCAGGGGAACAATATTTTGTGAATTTTAGGATCTCCTTTGGATCAATGACAAACTGATCAAGTCAAACACTATCTTCTGTTTACAGCTGAGCAAATGGTAATGTAGGTCTTCCAATTTCACAGTTTGAGAAATATTTTTCAAAAAAATTGTAGTACCTTCTGCAGGAGAAGGAGGTTTTATACTGGAAGTTTTGTTTTGTGCTGAAGTTGAATATGTTCCTTCATAGATCACAGTCAAGTTATGGCTGCAAAATTTAGCAGAATTTTGTTGAAGGAAAATTTTGTCTGAAGTTTGCTTTGAATGAACAAAACAGCCTACTTCTGGAGCACAGATTTTCTAAATATTTTTGGTGTCTGCTAAATAATGTCTTATATTCCTGTAGTATATATAATGGGCCTATTCCCAGGACTGGATCCCCTGTATGTATCATTGCATATCCTGCCGTACACAGTTATACTGATCTGGTTATTTTAATCATGGTCAAACAGTGAAAAGCATATGTCTTGATCCTCACAAATTATGACTTTAATGAACCTCTTGGAGGCACCCACTGCTATAGGTCAACAGTAGTAGATTAATCCAAAATAACCATATTTTTAATTATATATTCTTTTTGTACATTTGAAATGATGTAAGCTCCTGCATTTGCTCAGGTTTTTTAATAGTTTGAAAAGACAGAGTCAGATGTTCTTTTCTGCAGAGAAGAAATCAATGAATATCTGAGAAACAACTAATGAATAATGGCATATTTTCTTGCATATAACATGTATCTTTTCCCCCAAAATTGCACCCCCCTCCCGAATTGAGGTGAATGTGTTAAGTGGGGAAGCTGTGTTTCTGCCTGGGATAGAAGCACCTTGCTTTGATTTCTGCTCCACAGTGCAGCATCTGTTGCATTTCTATGCAGGTAGTTGAGAAAGTAAGTTGATTTAAGGATTCACTGTTCTTCATTCCAGAGGTGTTAATGATCATCTCTCCTTTTAAATAGTCTTGATATTCCACTAATCAAGCTAACATTTTCAGGGCAATTTTGCTGCCTGCTAGCTGTTCTTGATCTCTCTCCTCCTATTTCACATCCTTGGAGATTCTTCACGTCTTTTCAAAATCATAGATCCACCCATGGAGAACAATCTTTAAAAGCAGCTAGGATTTGAGTTTTAGTTAAGCAGGAAAGGGAGGGTGAGTCAGCTGAAGATTAGGCTCTGATTCTACTCTATACAGCCATAACTCTGAAAAAAAATACTTTTTTCTTCTTCAGTCTATTGTTTAAAAAACAGGTGCATTCAGGAGTGTGTTATACTGGAGAACATACCACGTACAACGGATGTGATCTTTAAAGACTTTTTAATATTTAAAATTTTAATAAGTGTTTTAATTAACATTAAATCATTCTTCTTTTCTCTTCTTGTTTATCATTTGTGCCTGCAAAACTAAAGACGAACTATAGTATTTGAGACCTTATCTTATATAGCTGTTATCATTACATGCAGAATTGCTTTCAACACACAATCCTGTAACAGTGACACGGTCCATAGTTTCATAGATCTTTCCCAAATGATTTTTGGATCAAAATATTGCCTCTGTTTGAATACGAGTACAAACAGTACTCGTATACTCATATTCATAGAGAACAGTGCTTTTACAAAATATCTAGTACGTAGGTCCCCCTTCTGAGAATATGAGTTCCTAAGAAATGTATTAGTGAACAGCAGCTCTTAAATACTTTCCAGGAAGCTAATTTCAGATAATTTCTTGAAATGTATGCCATGCCAATGAAATGTTGAATTCTTGAAATGTATGCCATGGCTTTCAAGGTTCTCTCCTGTCTTGTTAAAAGTGTGTGTATGTGTAAGAGAGAGTGAGTTAGGCCAGCTGTAGAGTTTTCTCTTTTGCTATCAACCCTCTGATCATTGGGTTATTTTTTAATTGTAAATATAGAAACTAAGATTGGAAGAGTATTTTATAACATCTTATCTGCTGACTTTCCAGCTCTGCATCTGCCACATGTTTGAAATGCCCCAACTTTAGCATGCAATATTGATAAACATGCCTTCATTTGAATGCTTTGGTTCTGTAATTCCTTCCTTCCCTTTGTATTCATTACATTGGTAATATCTATCTTGTTTGCCAAGAGGAGGCTTGAGTAGTCCATTAACTATTGTCCATTTGTTTGCATGTTTAGCTTCTTGGCACACCTAGCCTCTTGTTTAACTCTGTGATATAGTATCATCATAGTATCATCTCATAGAAGTCGGGTCGGAAGGGACCTTATAGATCTTCAAGTCCGACCCCCTGCCAGGGCAGGAGAAAAAACTGGGCTCAAATGATCCCAGCTAGGTAGACATCAAGCCTCCTCTCAAAGCCCCCCAGGGTAGGAGCCAGCACCACTTCCCTTGGAAGTTGGTTCCAGATCCTAGCTGCCCTGACTGTGAAGTAGTTCTTATGGATGTCTAATATAAACCTCCTCTCCAACAACTTGTGGCCGTTATTCCTTGTCATGCGGGGCGGC